GAATCACAATTTTATTGTGAAAAAAAAATTTGTTTGACAAGTTGAACAATATAGTATGTAAATGTTGCTTTAAAACCCTAAAATAAACATCAAATAACATGTAAAATCGCATACCTTTCAAATTCTTAAGACTCCCAATGTTGGTGAAGATGTTTTGAATGCCGAAAGAGCAACTGTAACTTCACCAATGGAACTTGAAGAGTAAAATCAAGTTTTTCTCTTGTGGTCTATAACTCTTTTGATTTTTGAATTGAGGAGATTTGGGTAATAATAATTAAGGATTTTCGGATAAGGAAACACAGAGATTTGTGAATTTTGGCCAGATTTGTAGGATGGAATGAAATGTAGACGCCATTTGAGGTTTGTCAAAAAATAAGGGTACAATAGTAAACATTACAAAAAGTGGACTTATAATCAAATAAGTTTCTTTGCAGAACTTATCTCCAAACAAGTCTATCTAGGGGGACTAGCCTCCAAATTTTCCTTAATTTTTAGTTTGTGAAAAATAAGTTGAATTTATGGTCCAATGAGATGAGCCCAATATTGTTAAGTGATCCATTTTGATTGGCTTATGTACATCTTTTAATTGGTATGATTGAGACGGTTAAATGTAGGTTTTAATCTAATTGTGGCCCGTAATGGGAGAACCAATTAAATTTCATTATAAATAACAGGTTAAGTCCCCTCTTCACTTCATAACTCTAATTTGGCTTGTCCCATCGAGAGCCGACTATTACTTTGAAGAAAGAGATGAAGACATTATCCTTCTGCGAAAGAAATTCGAAGATCGAATACCATGACTCGTACAAGTATGTTTAAACATATACGATTCAAATCTTGTAATTTATGTATTTTAAATTTCAGATACGAATCATTAAAATTTTTTGTATGCCCTCCTCTTTTAAATTTTAGTTTGCCTATTGAAGTATTTTTTAAATCAAGTTTTTAATAAAAAAATTAACACAAGTTTGAGCAAATAGTTGTGTCAAAGTTGAAATGGCCTAACAAAAAAATTAAATATTAGCAACCCAAGGCGTTTTTGAACCCAAAACTTATGACTTCTCATAAACATTAAAAAAAAAATAGCATTTGGAACAACTTATTTTAATTACTTCATAATAAATCAAAATACTTTAACCACTCAAATAAGTAAGTGAAGTAAAAAAAATAACTTCTATTCTTAAAAATTCACTTCTCCACAAAATACTTCACTGTCACCACTACCATTGCCCACCACCACCATCGCCCACAAAATACTTAACCACCACCATTGCCATACCATCACCATTCCTTGAGACCTTACCAGTCAATTTATTTGTCATGTGGAATGATTAAATCCATTTGTAGGGTTTGACATGAATAAAATTTATGAGCTTCTTTAAGAGAACATCATCAACCAATTTAAATTACAGGACATGATTTTCTTTAATAATTAATCTCTACCATACAAATAACATCATCTCTCAATTCATCGAGTTTATTGACTCAATATGAATCTCACTCTTTGATGAATTAAAGTGACAATCATTATATGCACATAACGATTAAATATCTCGAGATTAATAGAACAAACAATAACAATAATCATGATGTATTTATTAGCTTATTGAATCAATAAAAGATAATAATCTCAACATGGGTCTGTTCAATACATAAAGTGTACTAGTGCAATAATCAAACAGTCTCCTGTAGTCAAGACAGACTATGCCAGAATATTATACTATAATCATATTCATGGCGTGTTTAATTTCATCGAAAATTGTGAACCTATATTCATATTATACAAGAATCCGATAATCTAATCTTCTGTGTATAAACCAAACTCTACATACTAGATTATTTGTAATGTATAATATAAGACACACATACATACCAAATATTAAATATAATGCAAACATTTTGCCCACGTAGATTCTCAATAAAATGAAAAAAATAATTTTTTTTAATTAATAAAACGAGTTTCACTACAAAAAATAAGTTTTTTAGTATACAACTTTATCACAACTATCCTACAATTTTTATTGTCACTAACACGTGGTATTCTTTTTCAAATATTTTTGTTAATGCTTTCGATTAATTCATGTTTGATTGACCATAATTAGGTTGTATTCAAAATTAAATTATCTCAACACCAACAATTCAAAGAAAACTAGTAGTTTTAGTGAAGTGTAAATTTCCTCTTAACTATGTTATTTGTTTTAAGTTGTTCTGTCAAATTATTTGTATGACATAGAATTTAAAATAGCATATATTGAAATTGAGGTGAATTAAAATTAAATGGGAGAATTTAAATGATTATCTAATTTCAAGTGGCATTCATATAATTTGGTCTAATTCAAAATAGTTTATTTATGCATGACGTACCTTCGGGAATTTAACTGCTTAAATTTGACTATAGGAGGGTATAAAGAATTAGTTGAGTTTCTTAAAATTCTCACTCTATACTTTGAAAGAATAAAATTTTTACAGTGCACTTTTCAATATTTCAAAATCATTGCAATGTAACCCTTATATTATCTTTTCCATTTTCTGATGAAAAAAATAACGGAAGCTAATAGAAGAATCACATTACAATACTTTTCATACATTAAGGATGCAATGTGAGAAATTGAATGTTTGAGGGTAGAAAGTAAAAATCTTAAAATCTTTCGGGCACAAAGTGGGGAAAAAAAAAGAGTTATTTATGTTTAGACTTGTCAATGTATTGATTTTTGACCTCAATCTAATTTAAATTTGAATTCGATTAATCGGATATAGATTGATGTTTTTTTATTGATAGTTTGAACCTGAATATGATTTTGCTATTTTATATTTAATATATCTGAATTTGAATATACATGCATGTGTTTTTTCAACAATATCAAATGAAAGTGACAACACCAACAACGTTGTGGAGAATATCACCGGAGGGGTATAACTCCGGAGAGCTTGCAATCAACAATGACAATTAGAAGGGTGCCAGATGTGTATCTAGCGAATCCCCTCTAATAATCAAGTCAGTTGTGTAAATGAGTAGAGAGGGGATAAGTGTCCTAATGTGACTAGAGAGGGCATATCTTTGTTGTTTGTCTATGGATGATATTTATAGTGTAATGTCACTCCTTACACTAGAACCTAGGCATGCAGGGATGTTGAATTCCCTGCAATGTGTTAGAGGAAAGGCTCTCCTGATTCGTTTGCATCCCAAAGTGTCAGGTGGATAGATCCCATTGGTAACGGCTCAACCGCCCTCAAGTTGTGCTATTATTGTGCCTTGAACTGTGCACTTACAATCCCCTGGCGAAGGTAAGCCGAGCTATTATTTTCTCATCAATGCTCGGAACCAGGCATTAATCTTTGGAATACGCTGAGTGAACTTGATTGGTCAGAATCATTTACTTATTTGTTGAATCTCCCTCGGGCCTGACAAGTAAATGAGTTCTAACATCGAGATAAACATGATTGGTCCTAAGACCCAAGAATAGTACTTCCATGCATGGTTCTCGGTGCATGCCATGCGTTAGCAAAATATCCTGTCGTTATTCTTTGAGTTATTATTTTTTCGCGTCAATTATGTCACATCAAACCCTGTATTTGTAATCGATTGTCACCTCTATAGTCAATGCTCGGCCCCGAGCATTGAATATTGATAAATTAAACCATCCAACTTTACAGGGTGAAGACCCCTCGACTTTCTATCTTGAGGACAGTTTTCGCCCATGTGACAATCCTAGGTTCATTGTTAGACCACGTCCTATTAATACATACATTTGATCACGATTATAATCGGATCTAATAAGCCCAACTTTAATTGGGTTAGACTCAATAAATCTAGCAAGTCCAAGTCAACTAATACACAGGTCAAGCCCAAGTCATCAATCCGACCCAGTTCAAGATTTAAGGAGTCCATGACGAAAAGAGCAAATGGGAGAGAGATTATCGGGATATTCACTATCGAAGATCAAGATTATCTTAATTGTACTTACCTTTTGTAGCTATCTTCTTAAGATTTTAGTGTCTTTACGCTCACGTCATCGCCTCTCAATACCTATAAATTATAAGTCTTCTCCACATGAGAAGACACATCTTAGTATCTTACCACACCTTTTTACACACACATAGCTTCTCTCTCCCAGCAATTATATTTCTCCGGGAGCTAACCATTGCTCTATCTTCCGTTCACCCTACTTTATCAATAAAGACCACCTGCCACCATTGTTATTTCTAATAGTGGAGTAGGTCACCTGAACCGAACCACTATATGTCTGTGTGTTGACTCAATATTTACTGTACTCTCATTGATTGATTGATTGATTGATTTATTGTTAATTAATTACACCTCTTTACACACTCAACTGTTGATTTTGTATGAAGACTGTTTTGTGCATTATCAGGATCAAATATATATTTTATATAAATATTAAAAATCAGTGATTTTTTGATAAAATTTAGATATAATTTATCAAATTTTTGTTAAATTATATTATTTAAAATTTTGGATCGAATCTTAGATTGTTAATATATTTGGATATGAACCACAACAATAAATTTCATCGAATTATCGAATCGATCTCGAATCAAAATTTTAAAATCAAATTTAAATTTATCAAAATTCGATTTAAATTCAATCCGATGAACGGGGTATTTGTGTTGGAAAATTCTATATAACCTAATAAAACCTAAAAAGTGTAACCAAAATGTATATCATTTTTTTGATGAGTGTTTGATAAGTAAATCTCACTGAAAAAATTGATGTGACTCATTAATCTATCAAATGATATGTATTTTAGTTACAAATTTTTGAATTGTATAACATTAATCGTTTGTATTTATGCAATAAGTTGCAATTTCGTTGCCAAAAACGACAGCGTCTGTGATGTTTTCTGCGGCGTCTTCTCTCCACTAATTTGAATTCTTAGTTTGGGCGGTTTGGTTCTTGCTGTACGAAGCAGCAATAGTGAACCAGATTTTTTGGTACTTGTAAATCTCTACTTTCTCTCTCATACAAAACCTAATCCAAAATGGCCTCGCCGATCAACTACGCCGTCGATGAGAAAGACCTCGACGACGCCGCTTTATGGGCAGTAATCGACTCTGCCGCCGCAGCTTCTCTCTCCTCCACCACCGCCATCTCCAAATCCCGTAAACCCCTCGCACTAAAGCACACCAACAATTTCAGATCCCCAACCCTTAATTTCAGTTCAAACCCTTCTCCCCCAACCAAATTCCCCCAAAATCCTAGAAATTACCACAACTCACCCCACGCAGAGCTCTTTGCAGAACCGTGGGCTGCTCAAAATCACCGTCCACACAAAATTGCGAGGTCGTCCTGCGTTTCGGAGCTGAGTGAAACGAGTACGAGTCCTCTGGTTGTGGTGAAGCACTTGCAGCGCACGCCGAATACGCCGATGTCATATTCGTCACCGGAGGCTAAGTGGATTCAGGTGAAAGAGCATGACAACAGTCCGAATGTTTCGGAGTGTTCACCAGTGAGTTATGGGCAATGTGAGGAGGGAGAGAGCACGATGATGAGGCATAGCTTGTCTGGCAGATTTCCGACTGTGTCACTGTTCAAAGAGTATCAAAATGCTGCTATGGCGGTAAATTCCCTGTGTACTTCGTTTTCATTTATTCAATTGAGTAACATGGAAAGGAACAAAAAAATCTCTGCTGTATGCATTGCTAGAAGAATTGCACATTGATGAATTTTCAAAGTTCTATTGTATTTCTCTGATTTCAGAGTATGCTATATTTTCGATCATGGTAGAGGAGGTTTTTAGGTATGTGCATCAGTTCTGATACCCTTTCATGTTAAGAACTTTGGCAGGGATAGGAACTATAAGCCGTGGAGGAAGACATGTAATCGAATGCACTAAAAATGAAATTCTGTGATTTATTTTGTGCAGTTGAGTAAACTGCAGTTTACTGTCTATCATGTTGATTGCATTTTCCTATGATTAGGACTTTAGGATAATATGTATTTTAGAGGAAAAGGGGGAAGCAGCCTCTGTGTATCATTGGTCTCGAGATATAAGTAAGAGTAAAAGTTGAGGATTCTGGAGTGATGGATATCGGAACTATTCTCTATTCCAGAGAAATTAGGGAAAACATCGGAGCTTTTTCCAAAAATTCCAGAACAACTATCAAGCAAGAAAAGCAATTGATGTTAAGAAGAGAAATGCCCAAGTTCTCATACTATAGTTTTTGAATAATTAGAGAAATTTTGAAAGAATTCAGGAATTCTTTGTAAAGCACAAGAATTTGATTTTTGTTCCCTTTATAAATACAAGGAATTATCTCTGGGGTGGCCATGAGTAAACCTCTTTCGCTTGTTAATGCAATGAGGAGCACTGGAGCAATTAGTGAGTTGGTGGGGTCTTGAAAAAATCTTAGGGAACTTGTTTCTCTAAACCACACTTACAGATTCAGACCCACATTGATACCAATAAATTTGCTGTTTTCTATTCCATTTCCCTTTTGCTTTCCTTTTCTATTATCACTCTTTTATGGATATCCTATATTCCCAAATCCTAATAGCTGTTTCTCATAATTTTTTGATTGGATATGCTGATCTGATACATCTTGACGTCAATATGATTACCTTACAAGTGAATTTTGTTTGAAGTAGCTTTTTGAGCTCCTCATCCTCACAGGCCATATATAACACCGGAAGGTGAGTATGATTAACTAAATTCATGAAGAAAAGGAAGTAAAAGGGGAAAAACAGAGTATGCAACTTGTGTGATAGTATATAATGCATAAACACCAGCCCAATTAAAGTGTAATATGTGCATGTTTTAGTTTCTGAGTCAACTATATTATATTTCTCAAATATAGTGAGAATCAATTCATTTGTTGCACAAAGAACAACTAGGTGTGAAGAGACATGTCATGGTAAATTTGCAATTGTTTCTTATCCAATACATGCACATACACAAACACACACGACTCACACATGACTGCTACATCCAACCCAGAGAAGCCCCCAGGTTTTCGGTTACTTTGGCTCCTGCCACTCGTATGTTCTGCTAACTCCATCTTAAGTTGAACACCTAATGTATTTCTTGACAGATTCTGGAGAAAAGTGATTTCACTATGATTAGTGGGAGCCCTTATATCAAAAAGGCAGGTAGACTGCCCAGCTTCTTCTTCTTCTTCTTCTTTTTCTTCTTCTTCTTCTTTAAGCAAACATGTGTGATGGATGTATGTTACATGTTCTGTACAGGTTGGAGGAAGATATCATTCTACTTCAATCTTTCTTATGAAATTAAAGACAAGACTATCGAGTTTGATGATAACCGTAATGTTCAGCGTGCTGAGTTTGTGGTTCGGGCATCGATGCAGTATGTAGTTTTGGCTTGAGAATATGCTCTGAAATAGGGATTTAACTTGGGATTTATTTTCTGTAGGTTTTGTTGCTTTCAGATGAAAAAAGTATTTCCACTTTTCGTTGTTTGTAGGGGTGGTAGGTTCTCTGATGGATGGGGGTCATGTGACCGGCATGAGAAGAGATTTTTAAAACCAAATCATGACATTCCCAGCACAGCAGAAACCAGAGCTAAAAATAAAGCTTGTCAGGTTTGATTTCCCCCTCTGCATGTTCATTCAAGGTCTGCTATCATAGCTTCAGTTTATTCATAGTTGTTGAGTTGACTCTCTTGTTAGTTGGTTAGATGTCTAATAAGTTTGCTATACAGCTATATTGGAGATAATCAGGTCCAAATCCAGTGTGGAATGAAGCAAGATATGTTGTCTAAATTTAGATTCAAGCACTTTACTTATTAGACATGCTATGCCCCACAACTTTATTATTGATCTCTTGTGGAACTGATTGTGTTGGTTAAAAAACGAATTTGAAGAAGCTAGTTACAAAGACCTTAGATTGTGCCTGATCCAAGATTTAAAACTCACTGAACTAGTTTGTCTTCAATCACGTATTCTACTTGCAGTTCAGGACACAGATTGACATCAGAAGTCTTCATGTATTTTGTATTAATAAAAATATCTCGGTTTTAATTATTTTATAAAATCTATCACAGATATTTGTACAACAAAACTAAATCAAAAGGTTATAGCATGAAACTATAAGGCACTCAATATTCAGAAATCAACATCAACTCATGTAGTACACACGTAACAGTAGATCAAAATATCATGTTATCTGCATAAAATATAAAATTAATAGTGACCCATAGCTGACAGTAGCATGTGATGTAACTACACCATTAAACATTTTTCAAATTGGACCGTTGTAGTCTTCAAAGCCCATGAAACCTCTTTCAAGGTTTGTACCGTTTGTTTTCCTTGTTGATTGTTCAATACCCATGTAACAAAAGAATATAAGCTTGCATTTAACTTAAAGGTTATAATTTATATTTGTAGATGTCAGAATTTAAAGAGAAAGACATTCAAAAATCAATAAGGGGTTTTAAATTTTCTTTTTATTCCAACAATTTGCTTGTAAAATCGAAGACATTCATGATGTCCTGCATTGCTTGTTGAGAATAAATGCTTAAACAACCACTCGTTGATGTTTGGTTGCGAAAAAAGTTATTTCTATAGCTTCTTAAACTTGCTTTGTGTTATTTGGAATTTGATCTCAACGATGAAAAGGTCATATCCAGTTCCCAAAACTTTGGCTCCTGCCTATAGTGCGATCCAGGAGAGGTTTTGAATCCACAACATATCTATCCCCATGTACAAAGAAAGGATATCTGCTGGAATTTGTTAATCAAATAGCCCTGTCAGTTAGGTTGCCTTTCCTTGCTCATATGGACATTGTACCCTTGGGGCTTGGGCTAATCCAAATTGCAAGACATGGAAAATGTTTCTTATCAAGCCAGGCTGCCTTGAGTACTAATTCAGACATTGTGCTTTTGACTATCAACCTGTTGAGACATGGTGCCTAACTCAACTATCATTATGATTGTTTTCTTTTGGTGAATTCCATTCTTGTCCATGGTTGTCATCACCCCACTTCTTCTGTGGACATCTCTATTATTTTCCCGTTTGTGTCTGCTGCCTGCTGATAGTGCCAGTGTTAATATACGATATTTCTGGGTAAAAACTGTCATGTTGTGTTATATGTAACACGTTCTATGTCCAAATTTTTTTAACAAGATATTAATCATGTGCAGGATCTGCTAGGAATCGGAGAATATCGACCTGGTGCAAGCCACGCTCAGCGATAAATTTAGAATGATTCAAGGTTCGTTGTAGCCAAATAGCAAATTCTAGTCCTAGTGTTTCCATGGGATTTAAGTGATGAGAAATTATTATCGAATGTACTGTACTAAAACAAAAAAGTAAAGAAGAAAGCTTGAATTACATTAAGTTGACGAAAGAGAGGTAAATCTCTAAATGCTTGCTGAGGGTATTACTAGTTTTTTTGGAATTTGCCCACGATGGTTGGTGCCGATGAAGTAGTGAATGACCCATCTGTTGGGTGCTTTGGATAGCAATTGATCGTTAGCTAGTCTTAGTCATATCTGGACATGGACGAAGCTTGGACTGAATTTACAACAGAGCTTGAGGACAGAAAAGTAAACTCAAAAGACGAGAAAGGTGATAAAGTACTGCTGCTCTGTTTGAACCCTTTGGTCTGAATATTCTCTTGAAATTAGGAAATTAACAAAGGAAACTGTGTATTGACAACATTGAAGTGTTTACCCTCTGCAATGTTTTTGGAATCCAATAACTTGAGTAAGACGGAAATCTTCGAATTTAAAAGTATTTATTTAGGCCTTTAATAATTTTTTAAAAAAAAAATTAAAGGCAAAAACAAATAATATCTTAGTTCGTGTGGCTTATAACTTTAGTTCCGTGGGTTATTTATGCTTGTACAACCACATTAGAGAGAGAGAGAGAGAGAGTATAATTTTTCTTGGTTACTTTATGATGCAAATAATTGAAATGTACCTATCCAGTGGTGTGTCTAGTGTAGTTTCCACTAATTTGAGTGAGGCGCAAACAATGCCCTGGCGGATCTGGCATGCACGTACCATCTAACACTTGTGGGTCATTGTGCAACAATATTTTGGCTAGGGGCACCTTTTTTATCCGGTGGAACTTCATACTATCACACAACGACACCTTGTTAAACTTAAGCCATCCATTCAAAACTTCTCTCTCTCTCACACACACTCACACACATATGTATATATATATATATATATACACATAATAATTCTATGTCAAAAAGCACTGCAATATTAAAAATAGAGCATTAATCATGTAATATTTGTATTTTAAATAGTAACTTACTTTTAATTATATAATTTAAAATTAAACTAAGCAAAGAAAACTTAAAAGAAGTGTATTAGGTATGAGAGAGAGGAGAGAGGTAAATATGAATTAGGAATTATCTAACATTGGGGGTTATGTATAAAAAAAATACTTTAAAGTGAAATTCTTTTTTGGCTGTAATTCAATTATTATAAGTTAAAAATTCAATTTTTTAGATGTAATGTTAAATAGATGAATTTGATGATCGTAATTTTATGAGGGTGAACTTTGGTGTATCGGTAAAATTGTACTATTAAAGGTAAATGATTCAAGTTTGAAAAATAAGCTCTTTACATACATAGGTAAGATATTTGTATATTTGAATCTGTTCTGATTTTACACCATAAAAATAATTTATTATTAATTAAATAGTTATGATTTATTATGTAATCAAATAAAATCACTAAATGAAGTACAAAAATTATTTCTCAATATTTTCTATTGGATTGTACCTCATGGTATTTTTGGTGTCACCATGCCTAAATCCCTAATCTCTCACTTGACCAATGGTCCCGCGGTTCTCGTCTAATACACTCCATCAAACCCCAGCGGGGTACCAATGAGCAATGACTGACACAGACAGACCACTGGAAAGGAAACCTCTGAGATCAACCTCTGCTGAGGCCATTTAAAATTCCCAAAATGTACATAATTTATAATCTTTTTGGGGCTATTTTGGTCCAACTAAAAGAATGGCTCCTCTTGCCTCCGCCCTCCAACCCGCAATTAAGTTTAATTCCCTCTCTCTCTCTCTCTCTCTCCTCTACGTAGAAGAACATTACTATTACATTTCCAACCAGAAAAAAAACTATCCCCCCAAAACCAGTGGATGCATTGGTAAGATTGTCGTCTCTCTCTCTCTCTCTCTCTCTCTCTCTCTCTCTCTCTCTCTCTCTCTCACACACACACACACACACACACACTCATACTCACACTCGATTCTTTCATGTTCCCACATTTTCTATGAAAATTCTGTTCTTTGCATTTCTTTCGCTGTGTAGGACAAAAAGGATGTAACTGGGGTACCATATTTAGTGCTTGGCTGAAGTGACATCACCGGAATCCTCTGAACAATCACTTAAGAGGCCATCAGTCCCCCCAAGCTTTAGGGGACAGAAAGCTATGGCTCAACGGGTACTTGTTTGTCTTCTCTCTCTCTCTCATCTCTACACACACCGACACAAATACGCAGCACACAAACAAACGTTTCTGGAATCTTTTTCCTCTTTCCGCCAAAGGGGACTCCTTAGATTTTTTATTTACCCTTTCAAAGCTTCTCTGATCTGGACTTGGAGCTGATTTTGTTCTCTCTCTCTCTCTCTCTCTCTGAGTAATGGTATAATCTTGCATTTGGTTGAATAAAAATTGTTCTATAAGTATGACCTGTATTGATCGAGCATTTTGATCCGCCAGGAAGATGGGTGGCCTCTGGGGCTGCAACCACTGAATGTTAGAGTTGGGTTGGTAAGACATCGTGATCTTAATGGATCAGTTTCCTTCAACACTTTGCTTACTGGTTCTCCCATCTACTCCTCTGATTCTTCTTCCGATCTTGATACAGAGGTCAGTGTGTATTAATTTATGTTTGTGTCTATGTATTTATGTGGGGAAGGAATTAAAAAAAGAAAAAAGAAAAAAAAGCATAGATCATGCTACTTGAGCTTCTATTTCTTTCAGTTTTCTAGATCTTTTCACTTTCACCTTTTTCCTTCCCTCTTTTGTGGTGGGGGGTTGTTGTTGTTTTTTTTTTTTGGAGGGGGGGATGGGGGGTTGGTTTATATGCCCTGCCATATTAATTTTGTGTTCTGATTCTGAAGGTAAAACATGTGATCCTTACCCATTGATTTTTTTTTTTTTCATGTTTCTAAGTATAATGATCAATGTAGTCCTTTTCCCCCTGTTTTGCCCATGGTTGATGGCATTAAAAATGGAGCTAACAGGAATTATTTTCTCTGTAAAAGCTGGCATCTATCCTCTGACCATGCAGTGTTTCATGATATTTTTTTTTTGTTTTTATCATCGATTTGACAATTATTAATACAAGACTAGAGCTATTTTTTTTATTTTATTTTTCTGTTTTCCAAGTGCAATGACCAATGTAGTCCTTTTACACCTGTTTTACCAATTGGTGATGGCTTGAAAATTGAATTAAGAGAAACTTGCCATATATTCTTTGTTGATGCAAAAGTAGTTTTTCAATGTTATTTGGTTAATTAATGTCAGACTGGGTCATGCTCATTAAAAGTGGAAAGCACTTTACTCTGTTCACATGCTTTTGAATGATGGTGTTTTGAGTCTTTGACTGGATATGACCTGTTATAAATTGCAATGCTTTTCCAACCAAATGAGGAAATGAACATTTGGTGCTCCTCATATTAAGTTACCTAGGTGTTTTGTATGTAAGATGATTTTTGGCTTGCAATGTGCAACAGAACACTGCAGGGTTAATAAGTCATTGGCTAATCCAATTGTTTCATGGAAATATTGCATAGATATTGACATGTATGGATCAAAAAAAAAGAAAGAATATGAACAACAGCTAAATACTTCTAAATAGTAATCATGGATGATTCCACTGGCAAGAACTTAGATGGTGTTTCGGTAGAAATTAATCATTAACACACAAATCCCAAATTTCTGATTACTTATTATCATGTTAAAGTATTGTTAGCATTAAGATTTCAGATATAATTATTCAGATGCACAAGCAGCAGCTTATTTTACATGAAGCGATATGTGATAGGTGAACTTGGCTATAGTCACTGTTATATTGAATGCTAGTTGTTGATTGATAAGTTGTGTTTGTGGCTCATGCTCTTCATCTGTGTTACAGTCCACTGGTTCTTTCTTCCATGACAAGAGCATCACTCTCGGAAGTCTTATAGGCATTTCTAGCATTCTACAGCTCTCACGAAGATCGACAAGGGGAAGACCAGTTGAAACCTCAAGAGACAAGAAGAGTAGTACCAAATCCAAAACATGGTTATTCTCATTATGCTCAAAGTTAAGCACTGATGCAGTGAGCATGAACAACACTCCATCTCTTGGTCACTTTCTTGAAGCTGAAAGGAGAGCTGCCACCAGTTACAGAAGGGATCAAAGCCCAAATGCCGATGGACCGGATGATTTCTCGCATGCACTGCCCGTTTCAGACTCTAACTCGCTATTCATCAGTGGACAGGTTGCTCCTCCTCCACAGTCAAGTTCTTGGGTGGGTTCGGATGGTGAAAGAGGATCAAACAGAGGCTTGTTTGAGCATGGTAATGGCTATGGAGCTCCACTTGTTTTCTCATGTTTATGTGGACATCTGACTCATTAATCACTCATTAAATGATCATTTGTCATTGAATCCATTTGAAATATCTTCTAGGGGAAATTTGGTTTCATTTCTTTGAATTGAGTTCAAATTTCACTGTTATTCCAGGACATTGCCGTGTGTGTATGAAGGACAATTAGTCTAAATGAGTGATGATTGTTTATTTGATTCACAAGGGGTGGGTCATGAGACCACCATGCCTAGAGCAAATGTGTTCTTGTTAATTTTTTTTTTGAAGTTCAACGGTGAGGGTGTGCAAGCTAGCTTATGTACACCTCTATTAATTTCTTTTTCAGTCTAATCAAAGACAGACTATACATATCAGGATTAGGGTATTCATGAGAAATAAATCCGTTATGGTTTAGCCACAAGGAGTTGCCAAGATTCAAATTTTGAACATGTATGTTTACCGCCCGTCCTTATTATCATTTCAGCTATCCTTTGGAATTGTTATTTTTTTTTTTTTTTGGAAAATGGTAAACATATTTTTTTTCTCTTGGTAGTAGTAAAATAACCTATTCTAGGTAAAATACAATATTAGTAGTGCATTCCTTAATTAATACCATTGTGATTTTCAAAAGATTCTTGTTACTATTCCCCTCAATCCTTGCTTTTATATTGAATGTAGAAGTGTTTCATGGTAAAATTTTGTCGTTGCTTTCTGTTGAAAACAGGGACATAACCTCAAATTTGATGTGATCATGTGTTGTTTGTGATCTGTAACACACAAGTGAACTCTGCTCATCTTGCTTGTTTGGTGGAAAAGTTTTTTTTTTAAATTTTTATATGCAACGGTAAATCAATATTAAAAGAACAAGATATCGGCATTATACTGAGACAGGAAAAATTAGGGGTGCAAGTCAAGTGGATTGAGCGGGTTAGGGAGTCAAACCAAGTCCAAATTGAAGTGAAAAAATTTCAACCCTAATCTGACTTCTAACTCAAGCTACTCAACGTGGGTACTGCCTATTCGGGCTCTGGTTAAATTTGGGTTGAGTTCAAATTATTAAATCGGGTTTAAATTTTGGGTTAAATTCGAGTTCCTAAATATAAATACCTTTAACTCTTCGTTAAACTCACATAGGTCCAATGAAAACCAAACCCATTAAAGGCATAAATCACATGGAGTTTGTCTTATTTATTTGAGCAATTAAAAGAATAATTTGGAGGCTAGTCCCTCTATATAGATTTATTTAGAGATAAGTTCGTCAAGGAAATTTATTTGATTTTAAGTCCGTTTTTTGTCAATTTTACTATTGTAACCTTTCCCTGTAGGAATGTTATAAACGATGTTTATGGACACAATAATCAGTCATATAGATCTTCTTCATGATTGCTTTCAAATTCGGCTACAATTTTCCAAGCCACAAGAAACCAGCATTTATCAAAAATCGTTCATATTCACATTTCAAATCCATTGCATTCCATAAAATATAATTTCAATTTATTATTCCACTTTACTTTGTACTCCATCGACAAAATATTAATATTTTAAACATAATAATAGTAACATACTCAACATAAACAATAATATGGTCAGTAAAAAATAGTAACATACTCACAAAAAATGGTAATATGGTAAAAAAATAATAACAATTAGGAATTTAATTCTGTCAAAGTAGGTATTAACCTTGTAACAAAGATTCAAGAGAACTCATACATTAGCGCTAAATTAAAGTGTTATATATTTCGATTTTGTTGATTTTTTTTGTTGCACAAGACAATAAGTATTTCTTAGTTGTGTTACTGTGGAAAAAGTTCATATTACCAAAAAATAGAGTTCAAAATTTTGATGTCTTTATGTTCATATTTTGTGTTGAATGTCATGATTCAGCTGTCGATTATGTGTTACTATTCGTCATTTTGTAAATTTTCAATTTGTGAATCGTATTTTTACTAAAATTACTTGAAAGTTGATGTTACTGTAAAAAAATTATTGTCTTATAATTTGTAAAATTAGATGTGTTATTGAGCACAACACTTTGATGTTATTGTGAATATTAAATTATATGTTACATAATATATATACCAAGATTTGTAATTGTATCTTAAAATTCACGATAATAATATTAGTGTTTGCATAATAATACAATTGTATTGGTAACACGATCCTAATTATAATTTCAATCATATAATAACATGAATGTTACTATATATTAACATTCGTGTTACTGAATTCTGATGACATTGTTCAGTCTCCCTTATATTATGCATTACTATTGTTAAGGAAAATTTATGATCTAATTTTGACTTAATAAACCAAAAATTTATTCATACATTAAACTTTTCATATATAATTATCAGAATGTATAATTTACATATAAAACTTCCATTAATTATCACAATATTTAATAAACGGTTTCCATATATAACTCAATCAAGGATTTTCATACATACTTTAATGATTTAACCTATGTGACTTTTCATAACTGGACAAAATTAACACCATTACGGGTAATTTTGAGATTTAAAAAATAAATGGACTTAAATACATATATATAAGTTTAAATATGAACTTACCCCCAAATAAATTTTCTTCCAGACTCAAATCATTATAACTCCATTTAGGAGGACTCGCCCTCAATTTTCACCAATTAAAAAATATACTTGTTAATCACAACCATTAATTTTACTATGAGTCTCATTATTTATTAAGACTTATTACCTAATCAATAGTTATATTTATCAATTTTATATTTTAAGCTCAAATAACATTTCCCTATCTATGTAGAAGAGGAGAGAGAGATATTTTTCGTTTGAAATTGACGTGGGATTCTAATTTGGACATTTTCTTTTATTTTTTATTCAACATCTCACATCAATTGAACAAGGGAGTTTGCACTCTTTTTAGAAAATTCATTTAACATTGCTTTCAAGGAAGAGTATTTTGAATTTATTAGAAAATTGTGGACTTATCTATTTATTAGTAAAATTAAAATAAAACTTATCTCAAAATAAATTTGAGAGCCAAATTAAACCCATTAGAAGTCTCCTAAATAGGATTCAACCCCAATTTTTTCACATTAAAAAACATTGTTTTTAAATACTTAAATAAAAACTTGGGTTGAATTTGGACTGAACCCAATTCTAAGTAATTCGGTCGAGGCTCACGTTGAACCAGTGAGATTGAAGTCTCAATTCAAGCCCAGTTTGAATTCAATTTGGGTTGAGGATATTTTGCCTAAGTCCAATCTAAATTTTTAAAAATTCAATTCAAACACTAATTTTTGTTTTTCAAGTTAGATCGGAGTTAACCCACCCAAATTACACCCGTAAGAAAAAATCTCAAAAGAAGAGCTAGATGGCTGACGTTGGTGGAACAGTAACAAACTATGAAATATAGTCTTGAAACAGAAACATTACGTTGAATCTGTCTGGGCCTCTTAACAAGGCTTCCCTTCAGTACTGGACCTGAGTCCTTGCTTTGTTCACTATCTTTTTGGCCCAATTGTACTTGATCTTGCTGCTATGTTCCGGGTCCGAACTGAGTTACCCAAAATCCCCAACATCAATGCTAGCTTCAGAGAGGGTAAAAAATGTCTATAAAAAATATCAAATGTAACGTTAATACTCTATCATTATTAATATTTGATAATACCATTCAATAATAAATTAAAATATATACAAATAGACCCTACTTAATTTAATAACTTAATTATAGATTTATTATTAGATGACAATACCATGTTACCATTGTCATGTGGTATTACCGTTACACCCAATATTTACTTCTAATTCACATGCTTGGCCATGTCTATATTGGTAATAGTAGCCAAAGAAAGGAGTATTTGGGTATATTACAGGGGTTCTTGTTGGGTTTCCCTCCTTTGTGGGACTCATCAATTTGCTAATTTTTTGGTGGCTTACCCGTGTAGGACTCTTATCCAAGACTTGGTTTGGAGTCTTCAAGTTAAAAAGGAATTTGGCAGCCACCAAAAGACTATAAGTTTTGTCCTTTCTTAGTTCTTCTCTTCTCTGTTGGTTTGGCAAGAAGACATATTTTTCGGCAGTCTTTGGTTCAACAAAAATTCAGCCTTCTTCTTCTTCTCCTTTTTTGGTGCCAGAAAAATCTGCAAATTTGTTCTTCAAGTGGGTAATATTTCTTCACTTGATATTTGGGTTTCTTGCGGTTTGTTCTTGGAGATTTGGTTCACTTATTTTGTGAGGTATTTTCCTCTTGTGATTTACACCTTGGTGTGTTTGTAAGGCTTATGCCTTTTGGCCACTTTGTAATCTGATTTGGTGATAGTGGAAGAAACTGACCTACCGGTCGTCGTGGATGTACCTCAAGTTATTTGAGGGAACCACGTAAATCTTGTGTGCTTATTTATTTTCTGTTATTTTATTTATATTGCTTCCATTGATTTACACTTGTGGGAAAGCCTATTTTCCCAACATCTGGTATCAGAGCAATTGGTTAATTCGGTTCCGATTCGTTATATTTCTGTGTGTGAATTATGGACGGCAACGTTGGACGTATGGTTAGTTTCAATGGCACAAATTGGGTGACTTGGAAAACTAAAATGGAAGATCTTTTATTTTGTAAAGATTTGAATGGACCCATAGAGGGTGATAGTGGCAAACCGGAAGGGATGAAAGATGACGAGTGGAAAAAGCTAGACCGGAAAGCTGTCGGTTTTATTCGGCAATGGATTGATGATAGTGTCTTTCATCATGTCTCTACAGAAAAATCTGCACATGGTCTTTGGACCAAATTGGAGAGTTTGTATGATAGAAAGACGGCAGTGAATAAAGCTTTTTTATTTTGAAAACTTGTGAACTCTAAATATAAGGAGGGTACTTCTATTGCAGAGCATTTGAATGAGATTAAGAGCATTGTGAATCAGTTGGCCGCCATGAAAATTACTTTTGATGATGAGTTGCAAGCTTTGTTACTTCTTAGTTCACTTCCCGAAAGCTGGGAAACTTTGGTGGTCACAGTTAGTAACTCCGCACCTGATGGAATGGTAACAATGAGTCAAGTTACCAGCAGTTTGTTGAATGAAGAAACAAGAAGAAAATCATCAGGTTCTTCTTACTCCGAGGCACTTGTAATGGAAAACCGGGGGAGAGGCAGGAGTAAGAGTAGGGTTCCGCACAACCGTGATAAATCTAGAGGTCGTTCAAGCTCGATGTCAAAAAAGGATGTTGAATGCTATTATTGTCACAAGAAAGGGCACATGAAGCGGGAATGTAGAAAACTCAAGTTCAAGGAGCAGAACAAAGAGAAAAATTCAGAGAAAAAGCAAATTGATACAGCTGTAGTTACCGATGATGAATTCATGATTATCCGTGATGATGCTAGCGTTAATTTGATTGGCCAAGAGACGGATTGGGTAATTGATTCTGGAGCTTCATTTCATGTTACTTCGCGGGCTGATTT